GAGGGGGGAGGGGGGAGTGGGGCTTCAGGTCTCAGCGACGTCGCCCAGCAGCACAGCGGGCAGCCTCCAGATCTGAGGGCTATGATGGGTGCCAGCAGCTGGTGCCTTATACCTGCAAGTCCCCGTCTTGTCAGTGGGCAGCAGCTGTCAGGTGGCTCCTGGGGTACACAGAGCAGGAAGGCTTTAAATGGCTAAAAAATTGCTTGATTGGACTATTTTAGAAATAATTGGGTGTGTGAAAGTTTGAGTTTGGTGCTGGTAGGCTTTGGAGCTCTTGGGTCTCATTTATACAGTAGGGAGTGAGCCTGTCTGTCCTTGTAGCTAATGGGTCCCCATCCATGAACAGCCACAGGATGGTTTCACTATTTGGTATGAAATGTTTCTCAAAAAGTGACAGATGCGTTTGCTCTTCTGTCCCAGAGGGTGGCCCTCAGTGCAGTGCTATTTCTGCTTGTGGGTGCTCAGGCCACGGTTTCATTCAGCACACTGAGCTGCGGGCAGCCCTGTGCCTGGTGGCATGCTGGGCTCTGGGACAAGAGGGAGAGCAGGAAGCCAGATGTTGCTCCTACCCCGTGGCAAGGACCAGAGAGGCCTGCAGGAGCTGGGGGTGGGACAGGCAAACAGTGACTAAATAATTGTGCAGGTGATCCTATCCCAAACCGCGGAGGGGTTTGAAGAAAGGCAGAGGATGCTGCTTGAGGACATGCTGGGGAGATGTGATCAGTCTGGGGGTGGGTGGGGATTCGGGTGGGCTTCCTGGAGAGTGCGATGTTTGAGTCCGTGTCTGAAAGAGGCATGGAAGGTCAAGAGGAGAAACATGAGTGTGGGGAGAGGGACTGGACATGCAACGCAGCTCCCAAATGTCCCAAGGCAGGAGGCCTGACTTACCTGAGCTCCTGGAAGAGGCCAGTGTGAGGAGGAAGAGGAGAGAGGCAGGGGTGGGGGATGCTGGGGCCCCAGAATGAAGTGGGGACAGGGCCTTGGGGCTGGTTGTCCAGGCACAGAGTTGCAGCTCCATCCTGAGTGTGGTGGGAAGCTGTGAGGGTCCTGGAGGGTGCAGGCAGGTGAGGACAGGAGCATACTGAGCTGTGTTGCCCACATGATGCCCATGTGCACAAAGGAGCAGGCTGGGAATGGGCCAGCAGGCTTTGGTGCCACACTTGCCTTTGTGCTGGAGCTGC